TGTATATATTTATTTGTGCCTTATACATAAAAAGAGTAAGATTTTCCCCCCAAGTACCAATTTTGGGGCAATATTACCACTGCTGAGAATTCATGCTCTAAGCATATTAGTACTTTTTTCAAAGTGCACAAGCCATGGATCAAGGTTTTTCCGAGGGTCCCAATCTCCATGTTTTTCACATGATCTTTCCGGGAAAATTGGGAAAAGAACATCTCATCATAAACACAAATATAATAGTATGGCTGAACGCCCCCCAAATGACGTTATTGTGGGCATGCGCAGGTAAAATGTTGCATGTTCATTCACTCGCCAACACTACCGTTCTACTCAATGCCACCACTATCCTTGGGGGCGGGGGGAAAACTGAACCTTCTTCTGTTTGTTGGTGGTTTGGTCTTTGTGTCACAAACTTACAGAACTCCCACATGACAGATGTGACTCTCAAACAATACTAATTATTGTCAGAAAGAATGTTTTCAATTTGACATTAAAACAAATGATCATTTAACCTGTTTCTCTTACATTGCCTGGACTTCTGTGGTAATGCTTCAGATTTTCTCATGGACAAATTCTATTTATTTTCATAACCACCCTTGAAGAAATTTGAGTGGTTTATTCAATTTTACAGATGAGGACATTGAGACATGTAAGAGATTAATGGGTTTTAGAAGACTCTGTCGATAAATGTTTGCTGGCACAGGACTAACGTCTCGGTCCCTAGAATTATCTTCAAGAGCCATGGTTCTCCATCAGAAAGAAACGGACTGGAATAATACTGTCAAAGAGCGGTCAGCTCAGGATGGTCTGAAATGAGTGTGGTCAATAAATATACAGCCTGCTTATTTAAAAATTACTTTCTTTTGTATTACTTCTAGATCACCTGGATAAGGCTGGAAGTAGGCTGTCTTTAGGAAAATCTCCCGGAGAAAAGCGTAAGTGTAAAGAACCTGCATGTTCTCTTTTAGCGTAAATTTGATATTACTCTTATTGGTTGTTATGCCCCTCAGGCTAAAAAACACATCCAAATCAGAAACACAACAAACAACAACAACAACAACAAATGTGCTTTTAAAAACAGTTATTTAACTTCATTGCAATGTAGAAAATGTTCTATACTTTGCAGCAGCCATTAGGATTTTTTTGTAGTGTGTGACAGCAAACCACCCCCTCACCCACCCCCAACCTCCCAAAGAAATAGTACTAAAATAAGAGAGCTTATTTCTCTCTCTTATATGGAAGTAGGTGATCAGGGGCTGGCTTCATACACCATAAAATCCCAGGCTCATGCTTGCCTGTTGCATCGCCATCCTCAGCGTGTGGCGTCCCCTTCATGAGGATCCAGCCAGTAACCCTGCATTCCAGCCAAAGTGAGAGAGGCAAGGTCAAGGAAGGGCACACCTCCTCCATTGAAGGACACCCCTGTAGTTTGCATTTAGTCATTCTGTTACCATTTTATTGCCAGGATTAGGTAAGTGGCTATGCTTGACTGCAAAGGAGAATGGGAAATGTAGTTTTATTCTAGAAGGACACGTATCCAGCTCAACATCGTCAGGGACTTGACTACTAAAAAAAAAATAGAGGCCAGAGAAAAACAAGCAACCAGCTGTACCCACCCTGCATACTGTGTGATGGGCACTATTAGTGCTCTCCACTATTTCCGATTCTCCTCCCCTTCCCACTCAGAAAGCTACATTTCCCAGCCCCTTGCAAAAGATAAGGTCATGATATTAGTTCTGGCCAATGAGTTTATGGGATGGGTTTTACTTCTGAGTCAAAACGCTAAGCTCTACTACACAGCTCTCCACACTGTCTTCCCCTGACTGTGGAAGTCTGTGGAAGAGGGAGGTGCCAAAGGGCAAGGCAGCGTGGATCTCAGCACCACCACGTAGAGGACAGCTGCCCTGGAGACTCAAAGTCCTGCAGAAGAAAGAGCCTGTGTGCCCGAGAAATACACTGTTCCAAAACCAAAAAAGATTTGGTTTTGTTTGTATGGCAGCATAGCCTCTCCTGTCCTGGCTGATACAGTGTTCCTAATAATTTCTGAAAATAGTACAGAAAAGTATTAATCGGGAAGTTAAGTCTATTTAATCTGTTTCCCCCACCTTATTTATATACTTTACAAATGTGCATTTATCATATATTACATATATACTCATACTATATAGTCTAATCTATAAACGCTATTTGTCATTGTGGATTTAACACACATATCTATTTTCTTTTCCTTTAGTTGCATAGCACATTATTGTGTGCTTAACAACTTGTTTAAATAATCACCTATTGGTGGACAGTTAGGCTATTTCCAAGTTTTATATGAAAATAAAAATCATATTCATGTGTGTTTGTATCTTTACACATTTGTTTAACAATTTCCTCAGAATTCATTTCTAAGTATGAGATTACTTGGTTAGAGTCTTCATATCTCAAATTTCATACGTGTACCCAATTATTTTGCAGAAAATGTAATTGTTTACACACTCTTGAACAATGCTTGAGGTCTCATTAACTATATTCTCATCAACCTCGATATGATAAAACTTTTTAAAGGTCTGCGTACCCTAATACATTTCTTTATTATTAGTGGTTTAAAGATTATTTTTAAATAAATTTGTTATTTGTATTTTCTCTTAAAGAATTTTCAATTTATGTTCTTTGCCCATTTTTCTAGTGTATTATTCATCTTTTGCATTATTTATTAAGGATATTTACTCTCTATATTTTATTATATTACAATTTTTCCTATTTTTTGTTTTAACATTGTGGGGTTATTTTTTGAAGTGTGGACATTTTTAATTTTTTAAAAAGTCAAATCTACCTTTTACCTGTATGATTTTTAGCCTTGAGTTTTGGCTAAGAAATCTTTTATATCCATGGCTTATAATAATCTTTCTATATATTCCCTTCAAATTTGAAAAACCTGGTTATAAGTTTAAAAAAAATGGCACAATTTAAATGTTAGTAATTTAGTATGTCTTTGTTACTCCTTCCTTTAATCTTTTTCATTTCCAAATAAAATTTTCACATAGATCTCATAGTGTTCTGCTTCACTAAAGTGATGAGAAGACAAAATATAAATTGATTTATGAAGTATTGACATCTCAAGCTCGTAGATTAATATTTATAGCCATAACAGGTGATTTTATTTCCCATTTTAGGAAAAAAGAGAAAAAAGTGTAGCTGGTCAAATTCAAAAAGAAAACAGAAAAAATATCCCCCAAGAGGTAAGCAAGAAGTTGTCACTCCCTTGCTGTTCCACAGGGTCCTCCTTAGACGATCAATGTGGCCTCCTTTCAGCCACATGGCCACCTGGGTATCACTGGGGCATGGCCAGTCCCATCCCTGACCCCGAGGCCGTCCTGTCAAAGGAATCCTCACAAAAGAAGGAAAACCCAGACACGCTGTTGATCACAGTGAGCAAAGCAGACATGGAGCTTACGTTCTCACTGGTACACGTACAATCAACAGACAAAAAGAGGAGTTGAAGGGGGAAGAGGGCAGGAAGGTGTACTGTGACTCTGGGGGAAAATAGACATACACGAAGACAGGGAAGGAGTAATTATAGAGAAATAGGAAGATAAAAGTGAGGTTCAGGGACACAGGATTTCCTGATTGAGTAGGGGTTGGGGGGATGAGAGGGGAAGCCACTAGTAGGGAAGCCTCACTGCAGACCCGAGTGAAAACTATTCACAAATCACTGTTTGGCCTAGAAACTACCTCACCTGGGCGCAGAACCCAAGAGAAGCTCCAAGTGGTGGATCAGGTGACTCAAAGGAAGAACGACTCAACCAGGATCTCAAAGATCATGACAAGGGCCCAAAAGGCAAAGACTGAATGTGCCCAAGCATCTGGACCTGAGGGTAAGGCTGGTGAGAGAATCTGCCATTTGAAGGCAGATTGGGAGGGTCTCTCATGCAGCAGGCACAGGGGTAGGTGGATATGGGAAGTTAGTAGGAGAAGGCGGGAGCAGTGTAGACAAGAGGCATATGACAAAGCAAGGAGAATGGTTATTGGAAGAAATAAGTGTGTCCTCAGGGCGCAGTTCAACTCAGCTGTGCCATATGGACTCACATGACCACTTCCCAGTGTCCACTGTTTACATTTCTATTAGTAGAGTCGCCACTGTTCCACTGAGTTTGGGGACTCTCTGATTCAAGCTGACCCAGTGGGGAGAGTGTCACCCATCCCCAAAGTGGACATACTGTTCTCAGTAGCAATTCTTACCGGTTCATTTCTAAAAGTGAAGTGAATTGGTCAATGAGTCTGCATATTTAAAATTAGCTCATACTGATGACCAAATTGTTGCCAGTTTTGACTCTGGTTAACATATGGACACCCTTTTCCATACACCTTCATCAACACTAGAAATAATAAGACTTTTCTGTGTTTGACAAATTAAGAGCAAAGGATGATATTCCACCAATGTTTCCCTTTGAATTTCTTTGCACTGTGCATGTGGTTAAACATGCTGTGATAGGTTGTATTACTCCTCCACATACTCCAGGAGTTTCTATGGACTGTGGACTCAGGAATGGTCATGTGACTTGATATGGCCAGAGAAATATGGGCAGAAGTGAGAGATCACTTCTAAACCAAAGCTTTAAGATCCCTTGTGTTGTCTTTCTCTCTGCCATGGGACCAGTTCTAGACAGAGGCTGCTCTGTCCCCAGCATCCATGAGTGTCAGTGACGTGGAACTTCATCTAACTTGTGATGAACACACAGCATGAGGAAGAAGTAAACCTATGTTATTCTAAACCAGCACTTGGCAAACTTTTTCTAAAAAGGGCCAGATAATAAATAATTTAGGCTTTGCTGGTCATACGGTCTTCATTGCAACTACACAACACAGTCATGGTAGCATGAAAGCTGCTAGAGACAAATATAGATAGAAATGAACTTGGCTGTGTGCCAATAAAACTTTATTTACAAAAGCAGGGATTGGGCTGACTTGGTCCTCAAGCCGTAGTTTGCAGACACCTACAATAAACCACCGAGATTTGAGAGGATCTTTAATTACCGCAGCATCATCTAACCTATTTTTAACTAAAATACCTATTTTTTTAAATAAGTGTTTCATTAGAATTTTTTTCTTTTGAGGATTACCTCTTCATATTTGTCTATTTTTCTATAAGACTATTTTTTTTGTTTAATCAATTAGGGAAATTAACCCTTTGTTATCTTATTGCAATTTTTCTTATTTTGTTTTTGCCTTTTAACTCACTTGAGGAAATTTTTGGTTGTGGAGGCTGTTTTTGTTCATTTGAGTTTGGCAAATCAATTTATCTTTTCCAGTATGGTTTGTGCCAGAGTTTCACAACCTCAGCACAGTGGCATTTGGGGCTGGATAATTCTTTGTTGTGGCGGCTATAATGTGCAACCTGGGATGTTTAGCAATAGCCCCAGCCTCTATCAGTCAGACAGAAAAAAAGATTTTGCAACATTGTGAAATATCCCCTAGGGGGAAAAGTTGCCTAACAATGAGAATCTGTAGTTATGCCCTGTAGTTTTGCCTTAAAAAGCCCTTTCTATGTAATATTTATAAGGCGACATCCTTTATTTAGTTTTAGTATTTGCATTAAATGTACATGTGCCCATTATTTTATATATATTATAGATATATATTATACATATATATAAAATAGTTTGTGCAAACTTGTCTTCCTGTCTATTAACATGAGCTTGTTATTTTCTCTTGGTCAGTGCTATGATTTTCCTTTCATAAGGAGCCATATCTATCTTTCTCTAAACTGGTAGAAAGACAGGAAAAATTAAAGTAGTTGACATGCAGAGCGTGGAAATCTATGTTTCTGGTTATAAGTAACTTAACGTTTTGGATTTTTTTAGAAACGAAAATGAAAACAGATGTCTGTTCAAGTTCAACAAGAAGCTGTCAGAAAATGATTCCCCAAAAGAGTAAGAAAGCGAGAAGCAGAGACCGGCCCTTCGGCCGCCCAGGGCCTGGGCCTGCTGTATAAAGCTCCAGTTCCCTCCCATTTTCGCTTCCTCTCCTGCTGTCTTTGTCTTCCTCCTACTAGGTCTCCTCTGCCTGTGTCTTCTCCACTCTAACAAGGGACCACATGTGACACACTCCAAGGGAATGACAGCACGGAAGGAGGGGTGTGTACCCAATCTCCACACTTCTGCACTGGGATTCTTCAATACAGAACTGTATAAAGACCCAGAAATGATCAAGAGACAATGACTGAACCCATGAGTCAAGTTCTAATATAAATTGCCACTTCCTTCATTCTAGGAATTGGCGAAAGGCCTTATCTGAGCAAAACCTGGCAGTGTTCCTATGTCCGGGTGGGACGAGTTTTCCCGTCCTGCGTTAGTCAGGGTGCAGGTCTGGTCTGTGTGGGTCAGGCCCTGGGCCCACTTCTGCCCCTCTGAACTCTTGGGCCTCTAGGGGTCAGTGTCCTCCCCTCCTCCTCCACTTCCTGAATTCATTTTCCTTCTGCTTTTATAACTTTCTTCCTCAGTAGTCTCTCTTGCCAGCCTCCCTTCCCTCTTTATGCACAAGCCACGTTGGCCTTTTTTTCCCCTTTGACTTATTACCAAAGTATAACAGGTCCTACTCAAGGTGGGGTCTACAGACTGGCGCCATCTACAAGCTTGTGTGTTGCAGTTCTGCAAAAATACGGAGCTTGTAAATCAACTGTAACACTAAACATGCTGTTTTCATAGCAAGACCTCCTCAGTGGACAAAGCAGTGCCTTGATTTCTGTCCTGGTCAAGCCTGTCTCATCACAGGCCACATGTTGAGTAGCACTGGTGTAATGTGCATATGGAAAACTGCATGTACCATAAGTGTACAGCTTGAGGAATCGACACAAAGCAAGAGCCCACCAAGGTCAAGAAACAAAACATAACCAACCCACACTCGCAACCCAATTCCTACCCACACCCCAAGGCTCGCCACCAGTCTGATTTCACTTTGACCCTCAATGCTTCACCCACTTCCTACTAGGGCCTCCTCAGCACGTGCACGTGTACACATACACACACACACACACACACACACACACACACACACACACACTCGCTCCCCAAAGCTATCCCTTTTCCTCATCTCTCCCTTTGCTACACATCCTCAGGTCTCACCTTGAACATTCTCTGGCCCGCAGGCAGGGGTAGGTCTTCCTGATATGCCTCCATGGAACCCTGCATTTTTTTTCTGGGGCGCTTGTCACAACTGTGATTAACTGTCTGTGCACACCGTGTGAAAGTCAAACGAAGTCAGTAAGCAGGCCAGTCTTGCTCATTGCTCTGTCTCCTCTGCGCCTTGCACACTTTATGCCTCAATAACTGTCAGGTTAATACCTTATTCATTCTTCTTCATCAAGGATGAGTACCAAGATCGGGGCCTCCAATTACCCATACGATGCACTTGTGTGAACTAGGAAAAGGTCCCCCTTCAGGCACTGCAGCTGGGACCCCCTCTCATTTTGACAGCTGTTACTTTCTGCTCTAATGAAACTATCCTCTGCTGTAAACTTTAAAAAAGAAATAGGAAAAAGAAAAAAGAAAAGAAAAAGTCCCCCTTCTTCAATACACTTTCCTTGTCGCGCAGAGCTAATTCCCGAAGCCAGGGACTTTGCTGCCCTCTGCTGGAATACTGTTATAGAAAGTATACAAACGAATTATGCCTCTAATGCAAATCAGAGCCCCCTTTAAGGTGGAATCCTTGCTCGGTACACAACCCACACAAACGTATGCAGAGGGCCTTATAACAGTACAAGTATGTACATCACTTTACAGGTGGCAAAGCACTCTGCTCTACATTATACCACTTAACCCTCAAGTAAGTATTATTCAGCTTATTTTACAGAGTCAATTAGAACATAAAAGACTTGCATGAGCTAAAATCAACCTAGGTGATGAAATTACAAGTCCTCTGTTCTTTACACTGAAAAAAAAAAAAAGAGGACCCCTGGTCTTTTGAGGAAACACTACTGCGGGCAAGAATCCAGGCAAATGCTGACAGGTGTCCATCAGCATCAGCTTCTCCTGCCCCATTAGCAGTCCCTCCCCACCCACCCCTGCCCCTGTGACTTCTGATTTAACACCAGGTGTCTCTGCACGGTTATCGATTCCATGACACGGAGTCTTGTTGAGGCATTTCCAGTGCTATGGAAAGAGCATTAGACTAGAGGACGGCATGTCTGGATTCTAATGCCAGCTCCACCTCATGGAATGTGGAGATCGTCGGGAATTCTCTCTCCAGATCGAAGCCTGAGTCTCCCAGCTCTACAATGGGGGTCATCGCTGCCTCCCTTGCTGTCAGGTCCTTGTGAAAATCAACAGTCCAATGTGTGTGCTGACTGACCGTTTCCTTACTATCGCTTTTCCTCCATCACACACCTCTCCACACCACCACCCACCCTTCAAGCACAGATCACAGATCTTTCCCCAGGCCATGTCTTTCCATACATAATTTTCCCCATGTGCCCTTTCCTATATTCTGTAAGAATTCCCAGAGTTAGAATTCCTGATGGATCACTAATTAGCTTTGTTCCCATCCTCTTCTCCCTTTGTCACTGTTAGGCTTTTCTTATCATTTCCTCCACCAGGCTCCCCTTTTCCAGGAACTCTTCTTTGTTATTTAATGGCTCACTTTTCACAGCAGGCTCCTCCTTGTTGGTTCACACTTCCTGATGGTGACCTAATGGATGCTGGAGAGCTCCAGGCAGGCTTCCCCTCAGGGATCATCCTTAAAGACCTGTTGGCTGAGAATGAGTGGGTAAAGCTGAGCCAAATGCAAGATTTGGGGAAACAGATCAGAAAGTTGTCTCCCTCCCTTAGAGACAGGATAGTCGCTTCGGAAGTACGGTGGACACAAGGTCTCACATAATGGGAGGGAGGGGAGCACCTGCACCAGGTAACGGAGGGTTCGCTGCTTGTGCCCATGGCTCTGCACACCAGCCTGCTGCCCAGAGCTTCCGAAGCCACCCACTGCTCCCGAACCTGCTTGTGAGCACATCTGGGACATCTGTATTCATTGGACCCACACTTTTCATACTTAGGAAATAGGAAAGACAGTTCCCTGAGACAGAAACCTACAGAAGGCCCCATTGCCATGCTAACCCACTTGGGGTTTGCAACAGTGGTCCAAATTTATTGATAACAATAACACACGCTTATGAAACCTTGCTAGGACATTGCAGAGTTAGGATTACAGGGCCACCCAGTCTGGCTCCCAAGGCCGTGCTCTCCCACGAGGCCAGCGTTAGTGTGCAGGGTCTGGAGACAAGTGATGGAGCCGGCCACTTCAAGCAAGAGCACTAGCTGGCTGTTAGAACAAAGTCCTTCCCACCCCCTCACTCCTACCTGGCCTTTCTACAGCCCCTGGGCCAAGGCTGGGTACCCTCTGGGGCTCTGTTACAGGGAACCATCCCCTCACTTCTCAGGGATCTCTCCTTTCTCATGTGACTCTATCTGGTTCATATCTCTCCAAAGTATCTCATGGTTTCTTCACTGTTCTGTTCTTTTTCCAACAATGCTCTTGCTTTTTTTATACATTCTCCTTTGGCTCTTTCAATAAGTGTGTGAGACAAGGGAGAGAGTTGTACTAGTTGTTCTCCTAGCTTCTTCCAGATGTAACATCCTGTATAGCTCAACGTAAGCCATGGATAGCCCTTTCCCCTTGCCCCCAAGAAACAGGTCCTGCAGTCTGTCATCTTTAATGACTTCACCCCCAATGAGGCTGGGCGAAGGGGAGCAGGAATCGATGATATTTATTTTAAGCCCTTTTACAACTGCTTCTCCTGAATCAGAAACCCAGATCCTCTACTTGTGTTTGGGTTGTCAAATCTCTCCATGTGCAATTTAGTCTTAGAGCTCTCCAGGGTTTTCTTTTACTCACAGAGGAAGAAGCGGGCGAAGCAATAAAATGAGAAGGGACAGTACACAGTGAGGCCTGACACTATCCCCTCAGGGCTAACTGCCTCACTTACACGCGCACACACACACACACACACACACACCCCGGGGTTGAATCAGGCAATAAGTTCACCAAGACCTTTCCTCCAGCTACACAAATGGAAAGCAATGTTTTGCATAGGCAGTTTCCATCAGCACAGTGGGATAAGCAGGGTGTTTATGGGATGAAAGAATGCTAGGTGGTGGCCAATTAGCTTGTGAATGAAAACACATTCACTGAAGAAGCCCAACATGTTTTGCCAAAATATTTTGTTTGAGGTAATGGTGGTGTTGGTTTTGTTTATTAGAGACAACTCTGTACATTATCTAATCTCCCACTCAAAATAAAAGATTCCTGCATGTCATTATTATTATTAGAATTCAGGAACAGGAGAATTCATGAGGGAGACAGAATGAAGACTGAGTAAATGCTAAACTGTTTTCTCCTTTCAGAAATAAACAATGCTGACACTGTGGATTTCCACTCTCCTGAACTTCCTGTGACCTGTGGTGGGGCAAAAGGGGTTTTGTATAAGGAGAAAATGGAAAAAGGTGAGTTCCTTGATATTCAGCTCTTTGGAACCCCTAGATGAAAGAATCACTAGAAAAGAGGAAAGTACCCATGTGTGTGATTGTTGAGCAAATGGACCCAGTGAGGTAGACTGCAGAGAAAGAAGTGCTTGCTAAGAAGGGACTTCCAAACATGTCATACGCCTGGTGGCCAGGCTACTCCGTTCCCACATGGAAGTCATCCATGGACCCTGTGACACTGATTACCATGTCCTTGCCACATATAATTGTCACATAAAATGCAAATTCTCTCCCACTTCCTCACCACTCAGATTTTAGGGCTTCCTTCAATTTGAGAGAGGGGCAACTGAGACTCCCTGCTCCTGCTCCCACCGCACGGGGAGCCTCTCTGGACCCAGAAAAGTGGAACACCACAATCGGGGGGTTGAAGGGTTAGGGTGAATTCAGAGGATGGAGGTGGATCCTGGCACGGGCTGTCTTTGTCTTCCAGGACCCTCAGAGAAGTGCATTCAGAATGAGGAGGGAGTTTGGTTCACGCCAAGAGAATTTGAAATTGAAGGAAAAGGCACACGTTCAAAGCACTGGAAGAGGAATGTGCTTTGCGGAGGAAAGACCCTAGGACACCTGATAGAGGTATTATAATGAGATGGGGCAGATAGGTGGTGGGTTTAATTCCTTGAAGGATGAGTGGGATGTCAATAACAGAAGAAATTCCCATTAGGATTCCACAGCATAATGGAGAAAGAGCCAAATGTTCATAGAAAAAAATGTGGGTGATAAAATTAAAAACGCAGATTGGTGCTGATGGTGGGGAACTTTAAGTGCAAGCAAAGGGCTCTGAAGTCAGGAGAGATTTAAGAAGCTTAGCCTGGCAGTTTTGGGTAGGGTGAGCTGGCAAGAAACAAGATGAAGACAGACTTCTGTGATAACTTGCCCGCACCCTCCATCTGATAAATGCCTCCGCAAGACCCCTTTGCATCTGGACCCCTCATCTAAGTGTTTCTAGGCCACCCTGTCCATGGCAAGTCTCTCTGCACCTCCCAGCACACTATTCCATCCTATGAGCAGCAGACAAGGGTGATACCAGAACCTAACATAAATCCTCTCAATACTCAAAAATTACTGCTGGGATGAAATCATAAAGATTTTACCTAGAGAAAAAGAAATGGAAAATAAAAGGATAGGGTAGAAAGGGACTGAGAAAGAAGAACTGACAGTCTTGGGTTTGAGTAACAGAGTAACGGGGAAAATATGATTTTACCAAGTCGGGGAGAACTGATTGGAGGAGGAAGCTCATTTTTCTTTTAGACACATTGGGTTTGAGACCCAGTAAGCTGACAAGGTACAGATATTCACTAGGAAGTGAGAACTTCAATATTTACAAATGAGAAGCTTCCAGGATAACCTAATTCATTGACCTCTTCTCTCTTTCAGGTAGGACTTTTGATCTGTCCTCCAAGAATAAGTCTCAAGAGAGAGCTAAATAGCAGGTGAATTTCTACCACATTCTCAGGCGCCATGTTGCGGACTTTTCATGTCAAAAGGCTTACCTTCGAGTCCTCGAGTTTCCCAGCCCTGAGATACCTTCACATTTAGACATTGCGTCATCACGATGACTGCTTTAGCACACTGGTACATGTACATGCCGCCATTATTTTCATAGTTAACTTGAGATAGGGAAACAGATAGCTTTTTAAAATAAAGGTCAGGACAAAAGCTGATGGTGTGCATGTGTTGTAGACAAAGATCTGGATATTTGGATGATTCAGTGTCAGAAATTGAGTGCTCTAGTTTAAAAAGTAATACGGCATTAAAATAGACAAGAACGGGTAGGGCAAGGTGATCATCCTTGCTTGAACACCAGGTCGTCCTCAATTCCCCATGCTCGTTATCAGGAGCACCAGAAAGGAATAATGTGTTTGAATTGAGCTTCATCTCTGCAGAGCCTCCCTCCAGGTGAAAATGGCAGTCATCTCCTTGCTGCCCCAGCCGCTTGTCCCAGCCTTCTTTACCTGCTTAGATATGTCCTCCAGGCACAAGTCCCATTCACGAGCTTCCTATTAGATGTGAACCTCCAGCACAGGCAATGGTGCCTCCTCCATCTTGCCCTTGACCTTTGGCCAGATCCATTCAAAATTTGTAAGGCCACAGTCCTCCAATGCCACTTCTTGTATGAACCCTTATTTCCATGCTGATTTGACACCTTGACACGTACAGCGACGCTCCCTGTAATAGCAAAACATTAGGTAAGAATAAAAATGTCCATCAGTATTGTCTCAAACCTGAGACAGCTACAGAATGGTATTTTATTTTTAATGCACAGATTCATAGGTATATGTTCATTGCCCCCAAGGGTTTTGAGGTCAGGGGAGCTTCTGGAAGTTCAAACTGGTAGTAATATATATGAAAGGAGTCTAGTTTGGTGCAGGTCTGTGACTGAAAAAATATCTGAAAGAATTGGCTATTCTGGGATGGGATGACAGGGGACATTTGCCTTCCATATTCTACATTTATGTACATGTGGAATTTTTATAATAACCATCTATTACTTTTGTAACCAGGAAAAAAACCAATAAAGATATTTAAAATCCACATCATTAATTAATGGCCCCAATATTATAGTTTCTTCTTACTCATAATCCCACGTGTCAGCACATGATTGCCAGGGGCACACTAGACCCAACCTTTCAGCCCCACCTATTACAAGCCACCTTGAGATCATGGGAATGAAGTTTTGTTCTGACTGCGAATGGTGTAATGCAGTCCTTTCCCTCAGCCACATTATCCAGTGTCACTGCTGCCCTGTAGCACACCCAGTCTCCACCGGTGTGCCACTCGGTACATGTGTACCATTAAGACACCTGATGCTGATACTGCAAACGTGTGTTGTGGCTGCCCTGTAGGGCGCTGTTCCCATGACCCGAGGCCAAATGGGTAGCTGGTGCAGAGCCCCAGGCTCTGAGAGCCTCCATCTCCAAGGGCCCAGTGTGCAGGCGGCAGTTGCTGCTGTACGGGAGTATAGCTTATAGTTTATCGGGCTGAGGAGGACAGTCAGGGGCAGAGTGAGGGACCGCACCTATCTGGTTTGAACTCTTGACGGGGTTGAGGGAGGGAGCATATGAGCTTTCTTTTCAACTTGCCCAGATGTGGATAGAGGGGGAAAGGAGAGGGCAAAAGCTGTCAGCAGTCAACGTCGAAACCAAAGTCAGACTCTATATTAAGGAATCTGAGTGTGGAGTTGTATGTCCTTTCTCTATTGTTTCTTTATCATATCATGTGTGTTGGAAAGTGTTTCACTCCAGAGCATGAAGTAGGGGTGGCTGGGGTTGAGCCCTGGGCTCTGGACCCAACCAGGGTCTCAACTGGGAGGAGTGAGGGGTAGACTGGGCTACCTGGGGAACTGGCATCTGTACCCGGGACCAGAGCAGGCTGGGGGTCCAGTCAGAGGGCCATAGAGTGCCAACCCCAAGGCCAAAGGAAGGCAGGCTGGCAAGTTCAGGATGGGAAGGCCAGAAAGATCCACTGAACTTCGGGGGCCTGGGGGTGGGGTGCCTCTTTATGAAGTCCTGGGGCCCTGTAAACAGAGGGAGCTGCTGGGAGGCTTCGCCAGCTGTGACAGAAGTGAACACCATCTCCAAATCAAAGGGAAGTTTTACTCTGGCTGGGTGGCTCGTGCTCAGAATGGAGAAAACAGTTCCCTCCTTTGTGGCCTCACCCAGGTCCTAATGCTGGTGTTATGGACAGTTGAGGGTAGTGATGGGGTTTTTCTCCTTAAACAAGGCAGACTCCCAGATGCTTTGAACATTTGCTCCAGCTCCGGATGGTCTATTTCACCCCCCACCAGCGGAGGGGGATCGTGCGGCTGATGTCTGAGTGCAGAGAAAACATTGTCTTCTCTGTGTGAAGCCCCGCACTGTCTGTCTGTTTGTCAGCCACAACGTCAGGGCTGTTCTCTGACTCACCTACACCTTGCCTGGGATGGCACCTAGTGGCTGCCAGATGGCAGCCAGGGTGCCCATCTGGCTCAGGCACCGCAGAAAAAAAGGCATTTTGTCTTTCCAGGCTTGTAAAACGGGGGAGTTGCCTACAGCTGAGTTTGCTCAAGTTTCACGTACAAACCACCGGAATCCTGTTGAGGCAAATTTTGATTCAGTAGGTCTGCGTTTCTACCCAGCTCCCAAACGAGGCTGGCACCAGTGGTCCTCAGACCACGCTGTGTAGAATGGGCTTAAATGACCTTCTAGTCCCTTCTGCCTCTGACAATCTGTGGTTTGAATGGCAATGTGACAATTCTTGCTGCCTGCGCTTCCAGGGTTGAAATGCCAGGCTGGCCCTCCATCAGCAGCACTCTGTGTGAGCACCACGTCAGTGAGGTTGAAAGCCTCCACCGTGGGGCCACCCGGGGGCAGGGGGGCGGTGTGCCCCAGAGCCCCTCAGTGTCAGTGCTCGGTGGGCCCCGCTGATCCCAGCGGTGCATGCATTATCTCCTCTTCCAGTGGGAAGACTCAGATGAATGTGAGGTGTGCTGTAAAGGGGGATGCCTGCTCTGCTGCAACACTTGTCGGAGAGCCTTTCATGAAGACTGTCACATCCCGCCTGCAGAGGATGACAGGTTAGTGAGACTCAGCCGGCCACGTGCACAACTCTGCCTCTGGTCACTCAGCTGCAGACGGCAGAGCAGGACCTGTGAGCGCGGTTGGGTGCAGGTGTGACCCAGAGCAGCCTCCGTTCCCTCTGGTATCAGGGACAGCCCTGTGTCTGTGAGTCTGCTGCTGGGGCACCATGCTGCCACCGCCCCAGGGAGATGTCCTTTCCTAGGTTTGCAGCGCAGACTCTTGTCCAAGAGGGACGGGGATGGAAAATGCCAGTTGTCTGTGTTCTGTGCTAATTCAGACAAGGCAGGAAACCTGGCCTGATTCCCTCATTTTGCTACATTTTCAATGGGCTGATGGAGGCCTGTGGTCCCCAGGGGTTAAGGCCCAGTTTCCCACAATTGGGCCTGCCGGGCAGGGGTCCTTGTGCACCCCGGAGTTCAGGTGGGGAAAGGAGAGCTCACCAGTCACCCTGACACCGCCTTCCACCCACTGGCCCCCAGCTGCTACCCTCAACGCAGGGAGGAGTGCCTCATCAGCTCAGACCCCATGTGGGGGTCTTGAAGACTCTGGGAAGTGTCCCCATTGTCCTTCAGTTATGCCCATTGACAGTGGCAGCAGTAGAAATGGTGGCTGTTTCCAGGGGCCTTGCCCTTGCTCACTTACGCCCCACCTCTCAGGAGCCCGTGGAGTTGCACCTTCTGCAGGATGGAGAAGTGTTCAGGAAGCCAGGAATGTCACAGGGAATCTGAGGTCCTGGCGAGGCAGATGGGGCCTGAGCAGCAATTGGTGAGTCAGGTGGGAACCCCAGGCCTTGTCCTTTCCACGCACATGTGAGAAGTCAGTCACACAGCAGGGCAAGGGCACCCAAAGGGAGCCCTCAATGTCTCGCTTCAGAGAATGGCAATTCAGTGCCCAAACATGGAGTCCAGACAAAATTCAACCCACCTCATGGCCCTTTGACAAACACAGGTAGGAGGTCCGTGTGTCTGGCGGCTCCTGTGTAGGCGCCTGGGCACAGGCCCAGCTGCTCTGTCACCAAGCTTCACTCCACTTTAAAGCCCTCTTGATGTTTTACAGAAATGTGAATTCCTCCTTTTGAAGGCATACTGTCATCCACAAAGCTCCTTCTTTGCAAAGACCCCACTTAACGTAAGTCACATTTGATGACTCTCATCTTCCAGGCTCCTCTCTTATGTAAAACTCATTCTGCAGACTTGGAGTATGATTCCTGCAGGCACTGCTGTCTGCAGAGACCAGAAGGTAAGCTGCGGACCAGGGAGGGGACCACTCCACCCCACCATGCTAGCTTCCCCTCCCTGGGTCTGGCCTTCACCTTCTCTTAGGTGGGAATCTCTTAAGGATAGCTTAGGAGTTAAGAACTCATACTCAGAAGCCAAACTGTGGGTTCAAGTCCCAGTTCTACCACTTTTTAGCTGTGACATCTTGGGTTATTTAACCTCTCCATCTCTCAGTTTCCTCGTCTGTAAAATGGGTGTAATTGTAGTACCTGTCTCATAGGGTTGTTGTCAGGGGTCACATGTTAACGTAGTGGCAGTGCTTAGAACGAAGCCTGGCATGTAGGTGTCAGATGGTGTTGTCATTATTAGCCTGGAAATAAAAGCTTGTATTTAAGTTGGATCCATTCAGTCACGATGGCCATGCTGACATCATGCTAACATGCTTTGTACCTAGATTCGAGATTACGCTAAGCCCTTTAAGGAAGCCATGTGGTTGGACCTGGTGAAGGAAAGGCTGACTACGAAAGTCTATACAGTGGCATGGTTTGTACGGGACATGCGCCTGATCTTTCGCAACCATAAAACATTTTACAAGGTAAATGTTTTACAAGGGCGTGTCCTGCTTGCTTCTCACGTCCTTTCTACTTTCCCCTAACTTCTGGAACAGCAGAACTTTGCAAGAATTGTGCCCAGTGTCTTCCTAGAGTGGGTTCAAAAAGACAAAGATTACAGAAGAAAGCATTCCAGGGATGGATGTCAAAAAGAGCAACAAGTAAGAGGAGGAAGTTCCTCATAGATGACGTCTGAAGAAAACCTGTCCCCAGTCCCAGACTGGCCGGCTGCTCCCACGGAGAGCGGTTGATTTTGTCTGGCCTCCTAGTTCAAACTGAGAGGAAGGGCAGTATATGGTTCCATTGTTCTTCATGCCCTGGAAATACAGAAATCAGCGAATTAATTATACAAAAGGAAGTAAATTAAACTTCCAGGATGCTCATGCTTGGACTTTGCTACACCTGCATGTCCCAATGGACTCAAACATCACCCGGAATAGCTTTCAGGTCTTGTCGGCTTCGTCCTTCCTTAGTAGGGAGAGAATTAGTTCAGCTTTCTTACAACCCAAGACATTCTTAGTTTTAGTGTCTTGAGTTTATCCTGATTTTCACTCTCCCTTGTACAGACAGACATTTCTTGGGAGGTAGCTAAAGAAGGCTGTCATCTGCCCCCAGCTGCCTTCCCTTCCTCAATGCCACAAGTGGGCACATTCACCAGCCACAAATTGTGTCCACGTATGGAACTCGCCACAGGCCTGGCTGGACTTGGAGAACAGGAGGGTCATCCTTCTTTTAATGAGTGGGCTTTTAAGAAATGCTTTTCCTCTATTTTGCACCAAGCTCAGGCTTGACAGTGATCAAAATCAGCTCTTCAGTGCAGACCACCTGTCAGGTCCAAGTTAACCAGGCAGAGTCTCATCCATCTCGGTGCAGGAGCAGCACCTAACCACCCATTCTGCCTGGCTGCTGGGGAAGCATAGCACCCAGAAGACAGAGGGTGGGAATGTACAAGTGATTCAACGGTCCTAGTTCTCTGTCCTTAGACATCTGTGCATTTGCTTTTTTTCTCTTTCAGGCTTCCGACTTTGGTCAGGTAGGACTGGATTTAGAGGCAAAATTTGAAAAGGATCTCAAAGAGTTGCTCATTTCTCATGACTGAGAACAGTTCCCAGACTCCTCTTTGATCCTGTTCTGGAAGGACTGAGGCGCCCCAACTTCAGGACCCAGATGATGTGACCCTGGTCGTCCTTAGAGTGCCAGTGAGCCTGGGATGGGATCAGCTGTCCTCTTGACAAATCCAGGCCCTTCACAGCATCATCATACCATGCACCCCCTTCTATTGTTTCTTTTTACAGCTAAAAATTATATCTCACACTGAAAAAAAATTTGAATACTTCCTTGATAGCATTAATTACCCTTTATGGTTCGCATTCTCCTTGTTTCTCATAAATCTTTTTACAGTAAATTTGTTTGAATCTGAATCCAAACAAGTTCCACACATGGCATTTGGCTACTCTGCCTCTTAAGTCTTTTTCAATCTGTGAATTTGCCCCCTTTTATACTAGCCATCTATTCACTGAAGAACATGGGGCCCTTGTCCTATAAAATTTTTCATATTCTGGACTTTCCTGCATTCTCTTAGTCGTATGTTTCTCTTCATTCCCCACCCCACGGCATTTTTTTTTTTTTGTAAACTAGATGTTTTGTAAACTAGATCTAGAAGCTTGCTGAGATTTGGGGTGGAGGCGGGGGGGGGCCGACAGGGGGGCAGGAAGGGTGTTGGTTTGGTTTTTTGGCAAGCTGACCTGGCCCATTTATTGCACATCATCCCTTCACCTGATGATTTTAGCAGCCACTGATGCTCATTCTCTAAAGCCATTATTTCATGAGGGGTTGCAAAATGATGATATTCCAATTCTATCATTCCTTCTATATTTATTAGTCAGAATTCTTCTGTGAAGAGCTTCCCTTCCATAATACTTGGTTATCTTGAAATATCATTTCTACAGGAAAGACAAGATAAATGCTGGATTCTTCATTTAACGTGTTGAAAATAATGACTTGGTTCCCTAATAGCATCTAAAAGTAACCAGGGAGGTTTTGTTTTCTTTTTTAAAGTATCTTGCATACATAGATTTACACATAAATGTATTTAATGTGCTCTAAAACGTTGCAGCTAGTATTTTTATTGCTGCTCAAATTGTCCACATTCAAAGAGTGAGAGTCTCTTCAAGTTGGCTCCTGAGTTGTTTTAGAATGACCCTAGCACTCTTTGATAGTGAATTAGCTATATACTGCTGTGTAACAAATAACCCCATAGTTTAGTGGCTTAAACTATTTTGTTGCTGGGCCAGCCGCGTGGCGCGTTGGTTAAGAGCTGACTTGGGATGCCAGCTCTGAGCAGCAGGGTCCTGGTTTGGATCCCACATGAGGGCCAGTGACGCTGCGCCCTCTACAGCTAAGATGGTGAACAACAGCTCCACCTGGAGCTGGGCTGCCGTGAGTCGCCGGCAAAAGCATAGGCTGCAGTGGGGTTGGTCAGCAGCAGGCGTGAGCTTTCGTGAGCTGCTGTGAGCCGCCGTGACTGACCGCCTAAGCCGGGAAGAGCGCAATGATAATACCAACATGGGCCAGTGAAGCAACATCCTCCACAACTAGACTGAAGAACAAAAGGACAGCAACTTGTCTGTTCCCCCTCCCCTGATTCCCCAATGCTGTTCCCCTCCCCAATTCCCCAATAAAATCTTTAAAAAAAAATCATTTTGTTGCTGACTGTTCTGCATTCAGGAACTCAGGCAGTGCTCAGTGATGTGTTCTATTTGCCATGGTTTTGACTCAGCCCACTTACACTTACACCATGACACTTCTGCCACGCACTATCGGTCTACTCAAGTCACAGGACCAGATTCCAAAGAAGGGGAAATAGACTGTACCTCTTGATGGGGTGAGTGGTAAAGTCACATTTCAAAGGAGAATGTTGCTTATGAAAAAATGTTGCCACCATCTTCAGACACACTCTACCATAGTTCCCCCTCTGCCAACAGAAATTCACATTTCTCACATGCAAAGTACATGCCCCCCCCAGAGGTATGATTCACTGGAGCATTGAAACAAAGTCCAGGACCTTGTCATCTATCAGATTCAGATCAGATAAGGTTCTTTGGGTGCCGTTCCTTAGGTGCACCTTCTCTTGAACCAAAGACACAGAAGCTGAAAAACAAACTATGTCTCCTCCCACGCTCAAAATTCAAAAATGACACAGGGACAGAATAACCACTGTAGACACCTGCATTCAAACACGGGGGATTGGGAGGCATTAGCAGTCATTGGTCCATAGCAATTCTGAAATCCAATCAGGCGCGTGTTGCCAGTTCTCCCCATCCCAGGACAAAGAACATTCCTTGCTAAGGGTGACACAGGTATGATTTATAAATATTATATATTTCTAATTCCAGTCCAACCCCACAGGTTACTTCCTCGTCTTCCTCCAGTCAATATTTATGTCTCTCCACAGTATATTTATTCACTTGCTCAACTGTAAACTACAACAATAATCGTTTCAGAATTTCTACACTCGTATCAGTATAAAAATTTGCTAAGTTGAATTCCAAATTTGTGTGGAATTTATTTTTGTTTCTGTTACATATTTAAAATACTATTGCAGAGAGTATGTTTTATAATTTTGCATTTGTGTTTATAAGCGAGATTGGTCTGTAAGTTTTTTATACTGCCATAATCAGATATAGAGAGAGCTATCCTATCTTGGTAAAAATAACTCATAAAACTTTCTACCATTTTATATGCTTTGAAATAGCTTACAGTGCTTTAAATTAACCAATTCATAAAATTATAGCACCTACACTTCTTTGGGGAGGTAAAATTGACTATATTATCTGCATTTTCATGGTGATTAGACTATTCAGATATTCTATTGCTTTTTTAATCAGTTCTACTTTTATATTTTTCTAAGAAGTCATCCATTGCATCTTCTTTTTTTATAGTTGGCCTTATTTTGTCTTATTTTATTCTTTCTTTTTTGAATACTTCTATGTTTTTTGTCTATATTTCTTTGTTTCCACCTTCTATTCTGGAGGCATTGTAACAGTTTTTAATTCTTCTAATATTTACCTGCAAGTTTCATAGTGCATTTTTAACTTATTTTTTAAAATATCGGAACCAAAAATAAAATATCTTTAATATGCTACATATTTGTGTCAAGACACTTGTCATTTGTATACCCCTCACGTCCCTAATTCCTGTCTATCCACTGTTTTATAATATGGATATTCATTATCATTATTAAAATGTTTATATTTTATCCTAATTATTTTTATTTTAATAATATTATGTCGTTACTTTTTTTACATTATATCAATTATTTGTTATTTTTATCTCAGTTATTCAAATATCATGTAACATAATTAAAAAGCTAAAATTAAAACTGTGTCATATAATAATCCATAGTCATTCAGAACAATATTATGTATTTCTTTTTTTACTGAATTTCCCCACTGGCTTTTTCTGACCATGACTTCTTCATACTTTTTTTTTTTCCTTTTTGCCCCATCTTTCAGTCAACTGAAGTAATCGTTAAGTAATTTTAAAAGAAGAGTACATGAGTGGTATGTTTTTTGAGTCTTTGTATATCTCAGAATGTCCTCTAGTGTTTTCATAAATTAACAACATATTGTGCTACAATATATATCTTATCACAACTTCTCTCCTTCAAAATTGATTTAGACTTTGTTCCTCTGTCTTAGGGCATTTTATTCTATAACCCTGAAGTCTGAGTTCAGCCAGAATTCTGTTTCTTTGTTAGTGTGTGTGGATACATGTGGGATTTCCCCCTTTATCTCTGTAGTTACATATTTAGTTATTTTTGACAGGATAGGATTCAATGTAACATTCTTTTCATTGATCTTGCCTGGCACACTGAGCCCTTTCAATACACATACCTGCTTCTTTTCTCAGCTGCATTAAATCTTTCTGATCCGTTTGTTCTGGGCTCACTTTCAAGAACATCTATTATCTATATGCCGACAACCTGTTCTCTCTCCTCCCTATTTATCATTTTTTAAAAAGGAGAAAAAAGCTCCAGAAAGCACTCCTCCTCTTAGGTCATTAGTATGAGACTTAAATATATTAACTTAAAATGATTGCAATTCTGCAGTCAATATTTTAAACCAAATAAATTTTTTGGCATTTTAATAATGCTAATTGCTATCTGTTAACCAAATCTCAAAGGATACAAACTTTTTTCACAGTATTTTTCTTTTCTCAACACAAAAAATAGAAAAAGTCATTGCAACTTACTAAGTTCTGACCTGTGACTCTGATGTTTCATTCTTATTTAGGGTCAATGAAGGATTGTTATGGACTGAATTGTGTCCCCACAAAATACATACGTTGAAGCCCTAATCCCCAATGCGACTGTATTTGGAGATAAAGCCTATAAGGAGGCATTTAAAGGTTGAATGAGATAAACAGAACAAGGTAAGGCCTTGATCAGATAAAATTAGTGCCCTTACAAGACGAGGAAGAGGCAGCACTGCTCCCTCTCCACACAGGCACAGAGGAAAGGTCATATGAGGATGCAGCAAGAAGGTGACTGTCTGCAAGCCAGGACAACGCGCTCGCCAGGAGCTGAATCAGCTGGCACCTTGATCTTGAACTTCCAGCCTCCAGAACTGTGAGAAATAAAAGTCTGGTATTTAAGCCACTCAGGCTGTGGGATTTTTCTCATGGCAGCACGAGCTGACTAATACAGAGTGAGTGACACCATCAGAGCCCCTGTCCCCTCCCCCATAGCAAGGCAGAAGCTGTTCAACAGGATCTCAAGTTTCCCAATGAGGAATTGGGAGGAGAAGAGTGTGTTGGAGTTTTCATGTAGGTACCCAGTGTCACAGACTGAGACATAGAAAATGTATAGAGATCTCCTTAGTTCCTGTTTCCAGGTGTTTCCATAACAGTGTGAACTGTGAAATGGACTGACTTCATCTATGATCCAGAAAAGGGTGGAGGCATTTGAGCACTTAAGAAAAGCATGTAATAAAATAGAGTTTCTTTTATCATATGGGCGACCACAAATATGGCCTTAAAGACTGCCACTCCTGGTGCCGTTCTGGGAGGGGAAAATGGGTCCTAGCCATGATAATTCCATTGGTATAGTCTTCAGATTTCCAAGTCATTCTAAGAGGAGCGCTAGAGGTTTCTCTTCCCAGCATAATCTCAATGCATTATGATAAAAGATACCCCTCCCCACTAGTCTCCCAGTGGGCAGAACTGCTATGTTTTAAATTATCTTGAATCCATTTGTGACCCTTTCTTTCATTCTGGCAATAATAAGCTGAATTAATTCTCTCTCTCTCTCTCTCTCTCTCTCTCTCTCTCTCTCTCTCTCTCTCTCTCCCTGCAGAAACCCAAAACGCAGGAGCAGCATGTGGTTTTCTCTCCCCCCCCCTCTCCCCCTCTTCCCCTCTCCTAGCATGGCTCTGGATTACTTTATTACTTAAATATACACACACACTGAACAGTCCTTTATTTCTTTCAGTTGGAAGTTTCAACCACTATCAGTTTGATTGCCATGACAACCAAGACCCCTCTCTCTGGAACTGGCTCTCCCTTTGCCTCCCTTTTGTTGCTGCTGCACTGCTCTCCTGGTTTTCAAACTATTTCCACCCACGGAGCAGGGTTTGGTTCGTTTTTCTTAGCTCAGCTGGTCTTCCCCCAACCCCCTCCTTTTGGTC